GATAAGGAAAAAAAGAAAAGAGTAAACATTTGAAGAGTAGAAAAAAGTAAAAATTAAGAATTAAAAATAAGAAAAAAATTTTTTTCTCTTTTGCAAATAACAAAAAATAAACATGAAGGGCCTCCTTCAGAGTATGTCTCTGCTGTCACAGTAGGCAATGTAGGCAGCCACGTGCATATACAAGTCAATGAGTCTCAGCAAGCCAGTAGCAGACCTGTGAGATTCAGGCAGACTTCTGGCTGCTAGTCCCAAGTTGAGCTCCCTGTCCTCCTTCAGGGTTGAGCTCTGCAAAGTTCTACTGCAGGTTCCAGCTGCCCTTCCCCTGAAGATAGTGCAGGTTCTGATGGGAGGTGGTGATCCCTCCAACTTACCAAGTACAGTGGTCTGGTGTGCCTTTATTGTAGATTCTCTTTACTTTTCCGCTGAGCTTCAGTTTTCATCGAAGAGCCTGAGAGGCCCTCTTTCTGTTGCTAACTTCTGCTCTATCTTGTGGCGCTCAGGACAAGGGCCTTTATAATGCCCTGTGCCTCTGTAGTGTGGAACCAGGTAGCAGAAGAGCCAGGAGGCCAGAGGTGGGGGTGGGGTGGGGAGGATGGATGGATGGATGCGGATGCCAGGGGTAGGGGGAGCGGGACTGGGCCCTGCAGGCGCCCGTGTGGCTGAGCGGAGCGCAGGTCGGAGCAGGGGCTCCAAGCCGCATCTGCATCTGGGTCCTCACCGTGCCGTGGGCAGAGCCCGGAATGGAGTGGGGGCTTCACGCTGCCTGGATCCTCAGCTTGGGCTGGTTGGTTGCGCCAAGCGGAGCGTGGGATGGAGCAGGGGCTCCAAGCCGTCCTGTTACTTTTAAGAAAATGTTATCACCAATTAAGTGTTCTAGGCCCAGCCATCTTTTGGTAAACTCTATGAAATATGACTGAAAACAGTGATTCAGTGTACACTGGGATTATTCTAGAGAATGAAAAGGAACACTTAGTCCAGTAAGTCATTTTATGCTGATGACAGAAGATCAACATAAAACTATGACAAGGAAAGTAGGAAGAACTAAGGCATAGCCCAAGCTGTCATGAGCATCAAAGACAAATTCATAATCCTGCAGGATTCTGGAGGACCATGCTCTGTGACAGAGTCATTGTCTAGCGCAAGGGAGCCTGGGGTAGAAGCCTTACTCCAGTATAATGCTTTGCCTGAGCAGGTTAAATGGGAAGTGCAGTGATTTCCTTAGTATGCAGGATACAAGTGCTGGATGAATTTAACAGGCCAAGACCAGAAGTCCTGAGGGCAGAACCTTGCATCACTTCCTGCCATGAGGTTGTCTGCACTCTGTGTGCAGCTGTTCTTCCTCCACCCCCATGGCAGTGCTGCCCCAAAGAACACACTTGAACCTGGGTGTCTGAGACAGGGCAGGAGGCATGCAGGTCACGATGACCACATCTTCCAGCATCACACTTTGGGACAAGGGAAGTGGAGAAGAAGACAGAGAACTTGATGATGTTAAAGTGGAAAGCATTGATTATGTGCTGATGAGTTCAGAAAGCCTAAAAGTTGCAAGAGTTAGAAGTAGTAACCTTGGTGGGAAAGATTATCATGTAACAACTGAATGACAGCAAAAACTTCTGTGTCTATACACAGCAGTCAGCTCTTGGGGAGGGAAATATAATTTTATTTATTATTATTATTTTTAACAAATTTTATTTCATTTTATCCCATTCCCCCTCACACCCCCTTTGAGAAGGGGAATTTTAAAAGACACATTAGCATCAGAAATGTGTGTGTGTCTATTTCTAGTTCTAAGTCTAATAAAATCTGTAAGGCTTGTGTGAGAATTATGTGTTTTTGGGAGACAGAGATCTGAATATAAATGGATGGAAATTAATTAAATCGATGATGTTCCTTAATCCAAATGCAAACAGATGGGTGGTTTGGAGGCAGCATTGGGAAAGGGGGAAGGAGAGAAATGACAGGCAGATTCCCAAAGCTGCACTGGCTTGGCCACAGCTTGGTCAGCGAAGTTCAGGGGTGTGTGACATCAGGACAGTGCACCGGGCTTCGGAGCTGCAGGTCCCCCAGGTGTAGTGATGGGGGCTTGGGGACTCAGCCTGTTTAGAGACCCTGTCCAGTGTTTTGGAACAGTCTGACAAAGCTGTTTCAGGCTATGTGGCGAAATCGTGTAGTGCATGCTGGGGCACACTGGGGCTTCTCCTGGGCCACAAATGGGGCAGAGCTCACAGATCCTGTCCTGTGGCCACCCACCTGGCCTTTCTTCCCCATGGCCTCCAGGCCTGTTAGTGTCTCTGACGTGTGTCCCTCGTCTGTCCCCAGAGCCCAAGGCAGCGTTCGCGAAGGAGCAGCCGGCCCACAGTGAGGTGCAGGCCGAGGCGGGGGCCAGCGCCACGCTGAGCTGCGAGGTGGCCCAGCCAAAGACAGAGGTGACGTGGTACAAGGATGGGAAGAAGCTGGGCACGAGCTCGAGGGTGCGCGTGGAGGCCACGGGCTGCAGGCGGCAGCTGGTGGTGCAGCAGGTGGGCGAGGCCGACACCGGGGAGTACAGCTGCGAGGCCGGGGGCCGGAAGGTCTCTTTCCGCCTGGACGTCACAGGTGGGTACTGGAGGGCTGCATGCAGGGGACCCTGGGTGGCAGGGAGATACATCCAAGCATGTGTGGGCAGTGGGGTACTGGCAGCCTGTGGTGTCCTGCTGCTCCTGGACCTCAGCTCTGTGTCCCCAGAACCCAGTGGCTCAGCCTGTGTCATCTTACCATCAACCAAGGCAGGCGTGGGCCAAGCCCAGGTGTGTACCGGGATGCTCACCACGCCCGTGGCACCCTTGGTGACGAGCAGAGCGCACCTGGCCTGCCTGCCTGAGCTCTTGGCCTCCTGTGGGTCACGGAGGACGCAGGGACAGATGGCACCCGGGAATGTGACCTGTAGGGTACAAGGGTCCCTGTCTGTTGGGCCCCACTCAGTGTGCCCAGGCCGATCCCCACGGTCCATGTGGCCATCCTGGGCTGGGGCGAGATCTAGCTCAGCCACGGCGTGCCTGGTGGTCCTGCCTGGCACTCACTGTCCAGATCTGTCATCCTCACTGGTGCCCAGCTGTCCCTGGTAGTCCCTTCCTTCCTTCCTTCCCCCCGTGGCCCTCAGCTTCAGGCTGCCCTGGTCCTAGGGTGCATGTCCTTCCTGACTCCACCTCCTCTTACTGCTCATGGGCCCTGCATGGTGGGGCAGTGCTGGGAAGCCACTGTGGGCCTCGGGCCTTGGGGAACTGAGGCAGGGAGGGTCAGGGTTCTGTCCTCAGGAGGGGACAGTGTTATCCTTTCGGCCGTCCCTGGCTGTGAAGGCTTTGTGGGCTGGGGCAGCCTCTAGCAGCACAGGCCGCAGTGGATCTGGACGTGCCAAGGGCCAGCAAGGGGCAGCTGTCCATGGCCACCGCACACAAAGCCTGGGGGACCATGGCCTGGAACACACAGGGTCCAAGTGCGTGTGTTGTGCCACGGTGCTCTGTCAACCACGGGCATCTGTGTGGCCTTGGCTGGGCATGGGTGAGCTGTGTGCTCTACAGGGCTAGTCTGGTCTGCAGTGCTGACCCTGTGTCCCTCGTCTGCCCCCAGAGCCCAAGGTGGTCTTCGGCAAGGAGCAGCCAGCCCACAGCGAGGTGCAGGCCGAGGCGGGGGCCAGCGCCACGCTGAGCTGCGAGGTGGCCCAGGCAAAGATGGAGGTGACGTGGTACAAGGACGGGAAGAAGCTGGGCGCGAGCTCAAGGGTGCGCATGGAGGCCACGGGCTGAAGGCGGCAGCTGGTGGTGCAGCAGGCAGGCGAGGCCGACACCGGGGAGTACAGCTGCGAGGCCGGGGGCCGGAAGGTCTCCTTCCGCCTGGACGTCACAGGTCAGTCCTTGCAGTGCCTCCTTAACTGATTGGAGGTGATGTGAGCCTGGCTGGTGGCTTGGTGATCTCGTAGTGTCTCCTTTTTCCCCTGCTGTCATTTTCCTGCCTGTGGCTTGGCCCAGTGAGGCTGGTGCTGCAGCCTGGTGAATTCCTACATCCTGGGCCCATTCATACCTCCGAGCACCTGCCTGGGACCCTTCTGGTGTTCTTCAGTAACCTGGACTCTGCCCTGTCTGGCCCTCTGGCGTGTGGTAGACTAGATGTCGAATTACCTTTTCTTCTTTAGCAACTGGTGGCTTCCAGATGCCTTCCCATCAGCACCACAGAGTGATTCTCACTAGTGAGACATATTTGAATTTGTTTCATTCAGGATCAGGAAATTTCCGTGGCACAATCATCCTTGGAATTAGCCCAAATCTGAGCTCTGTGTTTTCAAAATTTTGGTGTCCTAGGGTACTCTTCCTTGCTTTCTCTTAGAGACAGAAGATGTATGTGGGAAAAGTCAGGATCCATGGTTCTTTGCAGTGCTGGGCACAGCAGTCTAAGAGCAGAGGGTTGGTGGAGGTGCACTTTGTACCACCTGTGAGACTGGGAATTGCCCCTTCAAGGAAGAGCTTCTCCTCTTTCTTCAGTTAGAATACTCTGTGCCAGGGTTTCTCCTCAGAGTTAGATTTGTAAATTTGGCGTGAGAAAGGAATAGTTGAAGCTATGTTAGCACTTAGTGAAAGACACCTTGCTCCCGTGGTGGCCACTGGGTGGTATAGCAGAACTCATTCTCTAGCAATTCCTAGTGAAGAGTGTCTGCCTGTGCCTCTTGGGCTGATTCATGGAGAAGTCTGGGAATCAGGTTCATTCTTGTTCCACCTAGAGAATCTTAACAGCAGAGTGGGTGGGCTGCGGCCCCACTGTGCCTGCTGGTCCCAGCACTGCTGTCTGGTATTGTAGCCATATAAATAGCGTGGACTGGGCATGACCACCAAAATTCATCTTTGTGTATCTTTCTTTCTTTTTTTTGGTACTGGGGATCAAACTCAGTACCCTGCACTTTCGAGGCAGGTGGTTGCAACACTGAGCTAAATCCCGGGCCCCTTGTGTATCTTTCTAAAGTGTTATTTTAAGAAATTCTGACAGATTTTTTTTTTATGGAGAAACACTTGGAAAGTTTTGACAAATTCACCAGTGTCTTAGCTCTGTGAGAAGTTACACAAGAAGAAGTAGACAACTCAGACAATCCTGTAACTGTTGAAGAAATGGGACAGCAATGAAGAGATCTTTCCTAAGGGAAACTGCAGGCTCAGCAGCCTTACTGACAGATCACACTACACATCCAGAAAGAATCCGCTCCATGCACACGGCGTTCTCCTAGAGAAAAGGGCACAGTGCACTCGAAGACCTGTTTTGTCTAGACAGCACACAACACAGGCACCCAGCCTGGGAGGGAAGTGTGAAAATAGAATGTATAGGTCAATCTTTGATAGATACCAAGTGCAGTGTCTTCAACAAAACATTGCTATGGGCCAGGCATTTAGCTCAGTGGTTCCACTGCCTGCCTTGCAAGTGCAAGGACCTGAGTTCGATCCCTGGTACCACACACAAAAAAAATTGCTAGAGTGAGCTGAGCTGTCTGGCAGCAGGAAGGTGTGCCGTGATGCAGGCAGCATCCAAATGGTCAGTGCTGGCTTAATAGTAAAAACATCAGAAAATGTGATGTCTGACCTCAGCTGCATGAAAGCATCATCGGATGAACTCCCAATAAATGCAGAATATAAATTTGATAAAACTTAACACCATAAGCCGAGCAGCTGTGTAATAAAAAAATTCAGCACCAATTCAAGCCGTGAAATTCCTCACAGAGCACTAGCAAGTAGACTCTTCCTCGATTTGAATGCGCTGTAGCAGACACCGGCCCTCACAGTGTTCTTGGGTGAAGCCTGGAGAGGTGTCCTGTGCGGGTGGAGGGAGGAGGGCTGTCGTCATTCTCCACCAACACTGCACGGAAGGAGGACAAAGAACGGGAGGTGGAGACAGCGTCAGCGTGGAGTCAGAGATGACCTGGCTGTCAGTTCTGAACATCAGGTTTAACTGTGAGACCTGGTGAGAGGATTGGAAAGGAGCCATGAGCAAATATTCAGAAAATGCTTCCTGTTCACATTCCAGCAACGAAGAGTGGGAAACCAAAGTCGTACAGTGCAGGTGAATATCCTTTCTAATTTTAGTATATGTGCTGCCAAAGCAAGTACATGAATATCCTTTCTCTGAAATGCTGGGGAGCCGAAGTGATTGGAGTTAGATATTTTTCAGATTTTGCCTATTACCATAGACATAATTTGATGTCTTGGGGATGAGGCATGAACCCAGTGTGAGTTCACTTATGTTTTTTGTATGTCTCACACACATACAATACTTTAAAATAATTTTGCCAAGGCCAGGGATTTAGCTCAGTGGTTTCACCGCCTGCTGTGCAAGTGCAAGGACCCGAGTTCAATCAATCCCCAGTACCAACCCCCCCAAACAAACAAACAAACAAACAAAATAATAATTTTGCCAAGAAATAAGATTCATGGGGTGGAATTTTCCTCTTGTAGCATTAGGTGGATGCTTGGAGTTTCAGATTTTGGAGCATTTTGGATTTTGGATTTTTGGATCAGGGTCCTCTGTGTGTCTACATAAAAAGCACTGCGTTCCTGATTCCAAGTGTAAAAGCTGTATGTGTAAGAGCTCTGCAGGGGGAAATGAAACACCTTTGAGAGCTATTAAGAGATGTTTAAAGAAATGGATATGAATACACAGAATAATGAAAGATGATTGTTTAGCCTCAAAATCCAAACATGATTCCACACAGAGTGTGTGGGTATTGGCAGTTGACACATAGATTCCAAAGCCATGTGTGACCCATGCCTTCAGAGAGGAGAGTGTGACCATTTCCCAGCCTCACCAGGGATGGTCACAAAGCTGCAGTGTCAAAGACTTCCGGCCACCAAAGTAAAGAGAGTAGAAGATTGAGCCCAGGGCCAGGCCCAGACGTGGGTGCACCCCATGTCCGCCCACCCTGTGTCTTTTACACCCATGTAAGCACTACAGAGAGCACTGTCATGCCCTCAACGTTTTGGGGCATTAATCCACATGGAAACGGTAAGTTTTCTGGTAGTTTACAGCACTTACAGGTTCCACTTCAGGTGAGTAGGAGCTTTGGTGTCCCAGTGAGACCACAGGACTTGGAGATGATGGCACAGGGTGCTTGAAGACTTCCTGTAGGGAAGGATTTCTGACAGACAACAAGTGACCCAACTTCAGGGAAGCAAGGACGCCTCACCTGTCTCTGTTAGGATGAAAATGTGGTGCACAAGAAGACATCCACAGTAGTCTTCTTTGTGTTGCTGTAGTACAGTAGTGGAGGCTGGAGAACTTACAGACCACATAGGTCTATCGGGCCCACAGTTTTGTGGCTGGAAGGTCCAAATGGCATGAAGTGGCATCCTGGCGAGGTCCATCTGCTTTGGCACATGGTGATGCAGAAAAGGGGCCAGTCACATGCAGAGGGGACCAAGGAGGTGGCATTCAAAGCAGCAGCCTGTGTGAGAACTAATCCACTCCTCGAGGCCAGCAGTGACCCATTTGTGAGGCTGGAGCTTCCCTTGGGCCACACCTCTTAGAAGTTCCCCACTCAGCACCTCCAAGCAGGGCCTAGCCTCCAGAATAGGAGACTGGGGGGCGGCCACCCCCGAGCCTAGCAGCTTCACAGGGCAGGCATCCTGTGCCATGCCTGGGAGTGGAGCTCCTGAGCCACTCGGGAGGCTGGGCTGCGGGGACGGCAGTGCCCTTGGACAGCGACAGCAGGGAACAAGCACCTGTGGGCCAGCAGCAGAGGCCTTCACTGCCAAGACTTTGCACAGATGGCCTGGGAGGTGCAGGCCCAGGTGCAGCGCCTGGGCCTCAGGGAAACAGCTCCGCACTCAGGGAGCCGTGCCCGGCACTGTCATGGGGACTCCTTGTCCCGAGGGGCAGGTGGACAGCACCGCCTCCCCCAGTCTTCTCTGAGGGCCCTGTGCTGGAGACCCTGACCCCCATGCCTTGTCAGCCCAGTGGAGCCAGGCCAAGGTGTGTGGGGGGACTGTGCTGCTGGTGCTGGGAGGCCCGGGGTGGGGAGGCTTCTCCAGGGCCACAGCTGGAGCAGAGCCCCAGGTTCTGTTCTGCAGCCGCCCTGCCTGGCATCCCTGCCCTGTGGCCCCTGGCCTGACAGTGCCACTGACTCTGCCCCCAGAACCGAAGGTGGTGTTTGCCAAGGAGCAGCCGGCCCACAGCGAGGTGCAGGCCGAGGCGGGGGCCAGCGCCACACTGAGCTGTGAGGTGGCCCAGCCAAAGACGGAGGTGACGTGGTACAAGGACGGGAAGAAGCTGGGTGCGAGCTCGAGGGTGCGCGTGGAGGCCACGGGCTGTAGGCGGCAGCTGGTGGTGCAGCAGGCAGGCGAGGCCGACACCGGGGAGTACAGCTGCGAGGCCGGGGGCCGGAAGGTCTCCTTCCGCCTGGACGTCACAGGTCAGTCCTTGTTGGCCATCTTATGTATGACATGAGCCTTCCCAGTGGGCCCCTTGCTTCTCCCAGTCGACTGTCACTGTCTCTGTTAGGGTTAGGCCATAGGCACAGAGGCTGCATGGGCTCTGTGAAGGCTCCTCCCTTCCCCGAGCTGTGTTTCCTCGGGGCATTGTCAGTCTTGCTTGCTCAGCACCTGCTGGTAGCCACAGTGCCTTGGCTGTGGACTCAGGCCAGCCCTGCACATGGGCCGAAGGTGACAGCTGTCTCACCTGGCAATGGTGCATCACCTGCATTCCAGGTGTCTGGGACAGGCTCCCTCCTCCTTGTGGGTCTGGGGGCTCCCTGTGCATTCTCATCTCTTTCCACGTCTGGATCCAGTTTTGTTGTATCGTCCGTGGAACTGGAGGGCAGGGGCTGGTGGATTTGAGTGGCTAGGCGGCAAGGTCTGGAGCTCTCTTTCCAAAGCAAGTCTTGTTTCCACTTTGACTTGGTTAGAACATTCTGTGTCTGTGTTCCCTTTGTGAGTGGATTCCACATTCAGAAATGGAAAGGACACCATATGAGCACACTTTGTGGAGCCTGAGTTTAGTAGTCCTGGCCACTGAAAGTGAAACTGTGTCTGTCACACAGAGCTACCTACCCCCTTGACCCATGTGCATCCACTCCTCCTGGCACTTCAACATATGCAAGTGAGTTTGAAGTTTGGCTTATTGTCCATTCCTGGAAAATGGTAGCAAAACTCACACAAGAAGAAATAGAAAAGTTGAATGTCTTCTAATTTTTTAAAAAAATGTACCCATAATAAATGATCTCCTCAGAGAGCATCATCTAATCCCAGTGGATCTACTAGAAAATTGTACCAAATATTCTGGAAATCAGTTGCACCATATCTATAAAAATTCTTCTAGCACCTCTGCAATTCATCTTGTATCAGTAACATATCACTAATACAGGCATCTGACAAGGACAATATGAAGAATACAATTGTCCAACTTCTTACTGACATCAAGTTCAACATTTTAAACCAAGTTTTGGCAGAGTGCATTGAGCAATTTATCTGGAGGACAGTACACTATAAGAAAAACCAGAGTCCAGGACCGCAGGGCTGCTTTAACTTTGGAAGTGTTAGTTAATCGACCCAAAGTTCAGCATTAACAGGTAGGAGGAAAGAAGGTATGGCAGAGACACTGTGAACAGAGTAGAAGCATGTGATAGAACACAACACCCTAGAAGATGTATTTGATAATGTTTAGCATCAGTTCATGCTACACATTTCCTAGAAAAGTATAAACAGAAGGGTTCTTTCTTACTTTAGCAAAAGGTAGATTAAAAACTATTACCACACATACAGTGGAACTGCTGGACATCAGTGGGCCTGAGCGCTGAGGGCACAAAGTGACAAGCTTTGCATCGGTAGGAAACGAAGACCTCAGTGTGCAGCGCAGTCGTAATCACCACGAGGGCTCACGCCCCACCGTCCCTGCCCTTCACAACGAAACTTCAAGTCAGCGTGTGTGGCCACACTGTGGCCACCGAGGCCACTTTTCCTCATGCCACACTGCCCAGCCTTCAGCACTGCCCGAGGCTGCAGGCAGTGGCCTACCAATAACAAATGCAAACGCAAGTCACGTCTCAAGATCTACCCAAGGCACCCACGTTAAAGGAGGACCTGCCTAAGATGAAAATCTTTTCCTTTGTTTCTTTTGAAACCATCTCATGTGATTCAATCCCCTGGGACAGTAGTACACTTTTAAAATGTTGAGCATGTGAGGAGAACAAATAGTATGTTTTGCAGCAAATGAGGTACAGACTTTCCCGGGTGCTTCTGAGATGAAATGTCATGGCATGATCACCACAGAAACAGCATTGGTGGTAACTGTTGTCCCGAGCCCCAGAAGTGACCTCCCTCTGCCCACCCGCTCCCTGAGACTGTACTTAGTATGCCTTAGGCTGCTTTTTCTTTGCATAGATTCTCCTTTGTATTCACAGTGCTTTTCTGTCTCTAGACTGAATTCTTTCACCAAGAATTTAAGGCAAAGAACCAGCCTGCCGGCAGCTGGCACAACCTTGAATGTTGCCTTTGAGATGGGGTGGAAGGCAGGGAAGCCAGTATTTCAGCCATGTTCTGTCCAGTAGGTCGCACAGCTGGGAGGATAGTAAAAGGAAAGATGTAAGACATGACAAAGCCAACTGGCACTTGTGGATGATACGGTTATCCTGAAAATTAATTGTTGGACTGGTAAGAGAATTGGGAATGGCTCCTACATGAAGAAAGCAATAGACAGAAAACACTTAGCTGGGCCTGGTGGTGCACACCTATAATTCAGGCACTTGAGAGGCTGAGGCAGGGGGATCACCACAAGTTTAAGGCCAGCCTGGGCTCCATAGTGAGTTCAAGACCAGCCTGAACTACATAGACTTGACAGAGTCTCAAAACAAAACACTCTGCAAAAACAACAAAACAACAACAACAACAAAAAAAGAAATTTAAATTATTGGAAACAGGCAGATGATGGGAAATTAACTTTTCAAAAATTTATGATGGTGTGAAAAGTGTCATGTTATATCAGTCAATCTAATAAGACCTGTTTAGACACATTGTTGGTGAAAATTGTTAAACATTGCTGAGAGACAGCAAAATAGATAAAAATACATGGCTAGACATCTGTAGAAGAGCTGAAAATATTCAGTACCAGCTGAATTGGAAGTGACACTTCCTTCCACATGTGAGTCTTGAGAAGCCACACACAAAGATAACCGGAGGACATTGGCCTTGTCAGCTAGCAGGACTTTCTTTTTTCTTTTGTTCTATTCATTAAGTTTATTGGCACATTTTAGGTATACATTATGATCGCATTCATCCTTGGGAATTTGTACTGATAGAGTGATGTATCTTGGCTCTTGTTTTTTCCCATTTCCCTTCCCTCCCTTCAGGCCCTCCGCCTCTCCCTGCATATAGAAGCTTTGTTTCCATTTTCCCAGTTTTTTCTCTTTCCCTTCTTTCCTTACCCCTGCCCCCCACCCCAGTTCCCCTTCCCCTTTGAACATTTTCTTCCTGTTTCACACGACCTGTTATACATTTTGGTCCTCACTTACACCCTTAGTTTCTCACACTAGAGAAAGAATTCGGTCTGTACACGTGTGTGCTTACTTATTTCACTTAAGAGTATAGCCTCAAGGTCCATCCATTTAGCTATAAATGTTCTCAAGTTTATCTTTCTGTGGCTGAGTAGTACTCCATTTTATAAAAAAAATCCCCACATCTTCTTTATCCAATCCTCAGTTGATGGGCACGTGGACTGCTTCCAAGCTTTAGCTATCACAAACTGTGCTGCTATAAATGTGGGTGCACATATATCACTGTGGTATGACTCTTTTAATTCTTTGGGGAAGATACCCAGCAGGGGAATAGCTGGGTCAAATGAGACCTCTAGCCCTAGTTCTTTGAGGTATCTCCATACTGATTTCCACAGTGGTTGCACCAGTCTGGACTCCCACCAACAATGGAGAAGGGTTCCTTTCTCTCCACAGCCCCGCCAGCGTTTGTTATTGGTTGATTTCTTGATAGCAGCCATTCTTTCTGGGGTGAGGTGGAATCTCAGTGTTGTTTTCTTCTGCATCTCTCGAATGACCATGTGATGTTGAACATTTTTTCATATGTTTATTTAGCAGGGCTTTCTTAAAAGCCACAGTGATGCAGACAGGTCTGAAAGCTGGGCTAGGCGGATGGACCCAACAGTGGGGTTGTGAGTTCAGAACACCTTGTGGACAACCTCCTTCCCTCCTTCCTTCCTTCTGCCTGCCTTCCTTTGTCCTTCCTTCCAGCCTTGTTTCCTTGCCCCTCCTTCCCTCCCTCCCTCCTCCCTTCCTTCCTTTTCTCTCTTTCTCTTTTTAACTCTGGTGTTAGTGTGAGCTGTAGTGACAGAATGGTCTTTTAAAAATGGTGGTGAGATCATTAGCCATAGGGAAAACATAAAATAGACTCGGACCTCCACTTCAGCACAGAAAAACCCAGTGCACGTGGAGGTAAAGCAGGCTCTTACCAGATACGATAGATTATTTGATCACTTCATGCTAATAGCAGGTTTCTTGAACAGAACATAAATGCACTAGGCATGAAGACAAGTGGAGACACTTGTCCCCAATGAAAGAGATAACTTGATGCATGGGAGGATACCATGAGGGAGTCCAAAGGCAAAGCACACAGGTAGAAAAGATAGGTGTAATGTACACAAATGTCAGCACTTTAGCATATAATTATAATTATATAAAGACCCGAGGGCTGGGGATTTAGCTCAGTGGTTCTACCGCCTGCCTTACAAGTACAAGGTCCTGAGTTTGATCCCTGGTACAAAAAAAACCCAAAAAACTTTGGGCTGGGGATTTAGCCCAGTGGTTCTGCTGCCGGCCTTGCAAGTGCAAGGTTCTGAGTTTGATCCCTGGTACCAAAAAAAAAAGAGAAAAAGAATGGTAAGAGCCAAAAGTGTGGTGCTGTTAAAAATAGGGCACAGCCCTTGAGCAGTAACAGAACAGAAGAGAAAACAGTAATGGCCTGGAAGACCAGAGGTCTCCACTGCCAGGGCACCATACAGAAGGCTCTAGGAAGTGCCGCCCCAGGTGCAGCACCTGGGCCTTGGGGACTCAACCTGTGGGCATTGTGTCCTGCACTGTCCCTGGTGACTCCTTGTCCCCAAGGGGCAGGTGCACAGCATCACCTCTGCAGTCTCCCCAGAAGAGCCTGTGTTGGAGACCCTCACTGACCCAGCTCAGCGCCGTGGAGCCGGGTCAGGCTGTGTGAATGGACTGTGCTGTTTGTGCTGGGAGGCCCGGGGGCTTTTCCAGGCCCACAGCTGGAGCAGAGCCCACAGGTTTTGTCCTGAAGCAGCCCCTCTTGCTTTTCCTGCTCTACAGCCTCATGGCCTGCTGATGTCTCTGGCTTGTGTCCCCAGTGCCCAAGGTGGTGTTCGCCAAGGAGCAGCCGGCCCGCAGCGAGTTGCAGGCTGAGGTGGGGGCCAGCGCCACGCTGAGCTGCGAGGTGGCCCAGGCAAAGACGGAGGTGACGTGGTACAAGGACGGGAAGAAGCTGGGCGCGAGCTCGAGGGTGCGCGTGGAGGCCACGGGCTGCAGGCGGCAGCTGGTGGTGCAGCAGGCGGGCGAGGCCGACACCGGGGAGTACAGCTGCGAGGCCGGGGGCCAGAAGGTCTCCTTCCGCCTGGACGTCACAGGTCAGTTCTTGGGGGAACCACGTGGCTTTGGTGGAGGGACTCTGGCTTTAAGCCACAGCTGACCAATGGCCTTTGTATTAGCATTCTTCTCTTCATATCTGCAATATCTCTCTTCCCTTTTATGCTGGTGCTGAGCTGGTGGAGCCGGTGGGCAGGGTACATGTGGAAGGATGGGGTCTCTCGCTCATCTGCAGAGCTGATTTCAGGCACTGAAGCTTGGTCCTTTGTTCCAGCACCACTTACCGCCTCTCTGAGTCCCAGTGTCCAGGGCTGTGGCTCGCTGGCCCTGTGATCTGGGATAGACCAGATGTCCCCTCCTGTGTCCCTGGGACCCTCCTTTTCCTTGCTGTGCAGCTCTCAGGTGCCCTCATCCTGCATGCCATGAAAGCTCTCTCCAGCTAGGTTTTCCAGTTTCTTTGAATCTGTTCAGAGGACATTTTGATGCCTCCCAGTTGTCCTTGGACTTACCAGGCTTGACTTTGGGATATCAGAGTGTAGTGTCGGAATCTTCTTCCCCTTTATTATGGATCTAGAATCGCTGTCTGCACCTCCATGTGGCGAGGTCTGGGTATGTATCTAGGGGCAGTGGCCGTGCCATACAAGCAAGAGCAGAGGACTGGTAGAGAAGCTGCTTCACACACTGCTGGGTCTGTGATTCTCTTTCACATCCCTGTGCAGTGGCTTGTTATGCGTACAAAACCAGTCACCCACCGTGCATCTTTCTGACAAGTTATTTGCACTATGACATAATTTTGTGCAACAAATTTGAAAAGTTTTTACAGGCTGGCCAATTCCTGGAAAACTGCATTAAAGCTTACACAAGGGTAAAAGAACTCAAACAATCCAATAACCTTTTAAAGAAATGGAACCCTGATTATAAAAATCTCATAGAAGGAAGTCTACATCCAGTGTCTGTGGGTAAACTGTACCAAGTATCCAGAAAGAATGTATTCTGTGTTCAGAGTGATTCTTCCAGAAAACAGGAGTGGGATATATACTCTCAACTCATTTTGGGTAGGTTGTATAATATTGATACCAAAACCTGACACAGTATTAAAAATTCAAATGCCCTTTTCTTATGGACTCTAACGGCCGGGTGTGGTGCTGCATGCCTGTAATCCCAGCACTCAGGAGGCTGAGGCAGGAGGATCACTGGGAGTTTGAGGCCAGCCTGGGCTGCATAGTGAGTTCAAGGCCAGCCTGAACTACATAGGGAGACCCTGTCTCAAAAAACAAAACCAAAAAACAACAAAAAACGAACCCCAAAGAAATAAAAAAATAAAAGCTAGGTCTCTAGCTTGGATTCTGCATTCAGATTTTTTTTTCTTTTTTCTTTTTCTTGGTACTGGGGATCGAACTCAGGACCTTGCACTTGCGAGGCAGGCGGTTGAACCACTGAGCTGAATCCCCGGCCCTCTAGCTTGGATTCTAAAGTCCAAATCCTAGGTCTCTAGCTTGGACTTTGTTCTTTTTTTTTTTTTTTTTTTTTTGGTACCAGGGATTGAACTCAGAACCTTGTGCTTGTGAGGCAGGTGGTGATACCACTGAGCTAAATCTCCGGCCCTAGCTGGTACTTAAAAGTCAAAATCCTGTACAAGCCTGGGGTGGTGGTATATGCCTGTAATGCCAGCACTCTGGGAAGCAGTGTTAAGAGGACTACAAATTTGAGCAGAGCTTGAGCAACTTAGTGACTTATCCAGACCTTGTTTAAATAAAAATACAAAGGCTTTAGATTTAATCCACAGAACTACAAAAAGAAAAAAAGAAATCCTATAGAAAACATTGGAAAAAATGGGACAATGTCGAGAGCATAGTACCCTGGGGCGAGGTCATCATCCAGGAGCTCAGAGTCAGTCTACCAGCAGTATATTAGGAAATGAGTACAATCTGGCACTGAGGTTAAAAGGGGGAAGCTTGTGTTGATGTCAATAAATGCAGGGTTAAATTGGTTGGCAAAATTCATACAGCATATCTAGCAGAGATTTACAAACCTTAGCGTTCACTCAGGTTAAGAAATTCCTGGGGCTGGGAGGGAGCTCAGGGAAGTAGAGTGCCTGCCTTTGATGAGGAGACCTTGGGCTCCATTTCTAGCCCCAGAAACAAAATTCTTAAACTAATAATGAAAGGATTTGCCCTAAATTTGATGAGAGTTCCACAGAGAACAGCAACAAATGCCCCATGTTAATACGTTGTCTGGGAGGATTTCCACTGATGGGAGATTTCAGAGGGCCTGCTGTACTGGCTCCTGCCTAGCACTACACAGGCATTAAGAAGGGGTGTGGAGGAAGAACACATTTGAAGAAAGGGAAAGTAGGCTTCAGAGATACCAGGACAAACACTTTTGTACTGAGGGACTTGTGACAGAGAGTTGGAAAAGGACATCTTAGAATTTACCAGACCATGCCATGTATCCTGCCTCTTATTCCATGTCTAATGAAACATCCCTCCGAAGGGGAGATTATCGAATATTTCCGGAAGAAAATATAGTACCTCTAACCCCTGGTGAGATTCTCATAGATGACACAAAGCTGTGCATTCCTGATGCTTGTCCAAGGGCATCTCTTTTGGGGTGTGTGAGAAGTATAAGTCCATTCCAAAGAGCAGTGGAGCCTGAGTCCTCCCAAAGAGTGAAAACGTTTGCTGTTCCAGGCTCCAGGCTAGTAAATGGCTGCCATAATGAGGACAGCTGGGTTCAGTGTAGGAGAGATAAACAGGGCAGAGGAATAGGAAAGGAGGCAGGAAACTTCCCTGAGCAGAATCACGTCCCTGCTTTCCTGCACCACTGTAATAGGAGACAAGGAAAGACATGGCTTCTAGGTGACCATCTGAGATCTCTGCCTTCATCTGTGCGTGGGAAATAAAGCCCTGTCTCTCCCATGCCACACAGACATCTGTCCAGATGCCCCATGGAGCCTGAGGTGAAGGTAAAACCAGTTCTTAGCAGAGGATGTGGATTATTTTATAACCTCAGGTACTCAGTTTTCTTAACTAGGATATAAATACACTCACTACAAAGGACAGTCACATTCTTACCATAACTGCCAGGAAGAGCTTTATGCCATCCCAAGGAACATGAAAGAGAGAAAGGCAAGGAACCAAGAGGGAACAATGCTCATACACACAATGGTTAGAGCTCCAGTGTATAAATTATGCAGAGCACCTAAAATGAGTAGAAAAGAACAGATAACAGTGTTGATTGAGTAAGAGTCGCAGGATAGAAGTGCAAGCTCTAGGGACCAATCAGTGACAGAGTTGCTCCCTCCCTGAGGCACCAGGAAGGACATGGGAGATACAGCTCCAAGTGTAGGGCCTGGATGTCAGAGACCCAGCCCTGCAGAAGCCTATCCCCTGTACTGTCCCTGGAGACTCCTGTTTTCTGAGGGGCGAGTGTATCGTGCCACCTCCCACCATCCTCCCTGAGGGGCCTGTGCTGGACTCCCTGTCACTGTCCCTGATCAGCCCGATGGAGCCTGGTAGGGCTGCATAGGAAGATTGTGCTGCACATGCTGAGGGGCACTGGGGTTTCTCCAGGGCCACAGCTCTGCAGCTGCTGGGCCTAGGCCTTCCTGCCCTGTATTCTCCTGGCCTGACAGTGTCTCTGACCCTGTGTCCCCCCATGTGTCCCCAGAGCCCAAGGTGGCGTTCACCAAGGAACAGCCAGCTTGCAGCGAGGTGCAGGCCGAGGCGGGGACCAGCGCCACACTGAGCTGCGAGGTGGCCCAGGAAAAGACAGAGGTGACATGGTACAAGGACGGGAAGAAGCTGGGCGCGAGCTCGAGGGTGCGCATGGAGGCCACGGGCTGCAGGCGGCAGCTGGTGGTGCAGCAGGCGGGTGAGGCCGACGCCGGGGAGTACAGCTGCGAGGCCGGGGACCGGAAGGTCTTGTTCCACCTGGACATCACAGGTCAGTCCTCATGGGGTCCACCTTAGCTATTGGAAGTGAGCCTAGCTGGTGACCGTAACAGACCTTGATTTTTTCTCTATGGAGCTTGGTTTGGTCTGTCTTCCCTGTCAGCCTGTGTCTGAGCTAGTGTGCTAAGGATGGCGTGTATAGAAGGCCACATGATGTCTTCATGTGGTGATGTAAGTGACCTGCCCCCAGCATACTGGTGCCTGTGGTTGAGGTCAACCAGATGTCTCTCCTGGCTGCCCCCAACAGCTACCTGAGCCCTTCCCAGCCCTATGAGTCTTCTTTTTATCAATTTGTTTGGGTCATTGAACTTCAGAGTGAGGGCAGAGTTCAGCCTCTCAGTCTTGTGTGGATCTTCAACACTGCATGGGGGATCTTAGGGTCAGGTATTTAGTTGTCTGGAATCTTCCTCCCACGTTGCCCGTGAATTCAGAGCCCTGGCTGCTCCATTCACGGCTTCACTGCATTGCCCAGCTCTGTGACTTCCAAGATTAGTGATTTTAAGTTGACTGAGAGCAGCTAAATTAGAGGGAGTACTTGAGGTTTTTTTTTTTTTTT